TCCACTAAATCATAACGAAAGAAAAAAAAGCGATAACTCTTTCTTCATTACCCGGAAAACAATTAATTGACAGATACACAATTTTTTATTGGTTCCACGATTTCACGGAAACGTCAACAAGAAAAGAATTGAGAGAGAAAAGAAAATGGAAAAATCAGGTCATAATTGCGGCAATGAACACGTGCCTGAGACGAATTAAAATGATGTTCAGTGGAAACCGGTGCGTGGGATTATCTCATTGTCATAATAGTCAAGTATCAAAGTGAAAATTTCACCATTTCATTAAGACAATAACAATAAAAATAACACACATCTCCAGAGAATGCCGATTGGCTGACTCGTTCAATCTGTGGGATTGTTTCCAATGCAAATGAATAGAATTAATTGACTCGGATTGAAAGTGAAAACGTCGGAATAATCGCTGCTGATTCACTATTTTCTATTCTATTCTTATTTCTATTCATCTGCAAGGGAGAACCCATCAAAATGGCACACGGGAAAAACCGTCAATACCCCATCATTTTTTTTTTCGGAAAAAAATTTTGGAGTCATCCCATTTCATCCCATTTTATCCTGCGTCTAGAAGAAATAATTTATCCTAATATCCTAATTTTTTAATATAAAATTCAAATTTATATTGAAGAACACGATTATATTATATATTCCATATATTCCATTTTCAAATTTTTCAGATGGGAATTAAATATTTTTTTATCAGTCAAGAGTAATAGAAATAAAATTGTGGATCAATGATTATTTCTTATCGTTATTTATTATTATTTTGTCCGGGTCTCCTTTATATTCATTAGAGAAATATGAAAGATCTGAGATTGTGCAGAAAAAGTGTTGTAAAGTTGTTTTATTACTGCGTTTATGAGAATTGGGGGACAGTGGAATGTTGGAAAACCTGAAAGGGGGAAAACGTTGAATTGTATGTTTCAAAACTATACTGGCTGCTATCGTTATTTATTGGGTATTGAAACACCTTTCTAGAATTGGGCAACAACGGAAGTTTAAATCGGGTCGATATTTAATGGAGTTGCGCAAAATTCAGGGATCGAAACCGATAATCTACCGAGAAATAGATTTTCGTATTTTCCGCGAATCTCATTTGGCATTCAATTAATCCCGCCATCTTTGAATAAAGTATTGATCCTCAAAAAATTTCCTGAACCCCGACGATGTAAAATTTTTATTTTTTCAATTTTTTAAAAATTACATATTATATTTAAATTTATTAATTTATAAATTATAAAATTCAGAGCGATCACCCGAAAAATTCTGTGCAGAAAGAACTGAAATTGAATTTTCAAAAAGTTTATTAGTCTCATTAAAATGGTATAATAATAATTCAGTAAAAAATGGAATACACTAGAATAAAGTACAGAATATATTATTGATTCGAATATATCCTTCTTGTACATAATAAGCACCTCCTGATGGGAAAAATGAGAATGTACTGGTACCGAGATGATAATTATAACTGTGCTGCACGTGCCTCGGCAGATTCCATTTAATCCCAAAGAGATATGATTAAATTCCGGTACCAGGTGACTTCTGGGAATCACATGCATATGACTCCTCATGACACAGAGACTTGAGCGATGTAACGGGTTTTTATTCCCGCACGTTTCCGGAATGCTGTCATATGTAGCCCTCGGATATCCCACGACACTTCACAATGATTGATTTATGTCTATACGAACAAGTGTTACTTTGTTACTTTGTTATTTGTTCATTATTTTTACGCTCGTGTCGGAGTACCGGTTAGAGACGCATCACAAAATTAATATAAAAATATAAATTTTCGGCTTTTAATAATTTTAGAAAGGGTCTGGATCCCTCGAAAAAAATTTATTCCAGAAAAAATGTAGTAAAGACATCATGAATTGATCAACTTTAAAAATCAAATTACGAATGAAAAATAATGAGAATATATGAAATAATAATTAAATAATTAAATGAAAATCAATTGTCAGATTGATCAATATTTTTTTTCCTCATGATGTACATTATTATTATTATTCGCAACATAAAGAAGTGATGAATAATTATTTTATATATTTATCTTTGTTTAAACATGGAAAACTGTGGGAAATGATGAATGGAAGAATTTTTAATGGTCCATATTACCCCAGCATCACCTATAATCTCTAAGTAGTGCATTTATAATAAAACATGAAACTATGAAACCATGGTAGACACCTTGTAAAAACCATAATCACATAGTAAAAAGAAACGTTCGATAGACAGTAAACGCTATCTTGTGTTTATGGTCATTCACCATAAAGATACTCTTCTCGTTATTTTGCATTCTTTATGTATCACATTATATAATGCAAGCACAGATCGATGTCCATGAACTACATGACTCTGCGGAGTATTTTTTCCATTATTTGTGTCTTTTTTATTTAAATAAAATGACGGCCCATCCCTCGAATAATCGCTAAATAATTCATTTATCTATTTATCTTTGTTTAAACATTGAAAAATATCGAGAATTAAGAATAAAACATTTTTCAATTCCAGAATTTCTTGTATTATGGGTTAGATAGATGGAAAAAAAATTAAGACGTTCACAGATTTCTGGGATTATTCAAATGGAAAATTTCGTGATTGGAAATATTTCAATTTATCCGGTAATTAGTCCGGAAATCTAAAGGGATTTTCATGTCTTTGATTCGAGAGGATTCTTTGATTATCACGCTTGAAATGATTTTCTTGTTCCGGTCCCTTCGCCACGCTCTCCAATATTTTTAAGTTATAAATTTTTCAATTTAATTACACGAGAAAAATTGTAAAACCACTGGCACTATTACCTGAACAATAATAATTATTATTATACTGCAAAATACACATGTCTCTTCAATTATTTAATTAATTATTCATTCACTTAATCATTTATTTCGGAAAACTGAGCATTCTTCATGAATGTTGAAAAAAAAATATTTATTTTTTTAATTTCCTCGTATTTAATGACAAGAAATTCGAATTTTAATGTTTAATTGCAATTGCAATTACGTTCTCTGAATTTTCAGGGATTTATTCGTTCCGTGTGTTCAACGCATTTCTCGTTGACGATTTTTTAAATAAAAAAATCGTTTCACTTGACTTTCTCGGCAGAATAAAACAAATAATCGAGGACCGGTTGCATTGCCCCAGTTAATTATTCCAGTCATTAGATTAATTTGTTCCAATTTATTTCTCATGCACTGACTGCGTTTTAAGCAGCCCTAAACAAGGTATTAAATTTAATGCAATTATTTTTCATGTCGGGCTGGTTGCACTTCGCCATTTTGGTCGAACAAATCGTTAAAACAAATTTATGTCTGGAGTAAATTTATTCCTAATTTAGACAGTGTTATAACTTTGTCGTTGAGTGCAGCCATTAAATATGTCGGTCGTTAAATATCTTCAATGCACTTTCGATCATAATTGATCCACCAAAGGTTTTTATTTATTTTCATACTTTAACGAGAATTTTTTTTATGGGTTTGGCTCCTTAAACAATTTATTAATTGAACGAATTTCATAAAATATTTGAAATCCATTAATACTCTCCACAATGCCATAATTATATTTGAAAAAAATCACTGAAATTTTAATTTGAAATTTTACAAAATCCAAAGAAATCGGTGAATTTTTTATTATAAAAATTCTTCGAACTCTCAAGAAAATCATTTTGTGATAACGTCAGCTGATTAACCCGCACTTAAATCATCAGGAGGAGAAACATCTCACGACCTTTCTCACATCTTGAAAACGTCTCCGTAAAAAATGGAAATTCACCTGCGAACCCTCATAAAAATTCCTCATTACCAAGATAAATACGGAAAACTAATCCATCCAATGAATCAGCTGAAATGATCCATCAACAGGTGGTGGTATAAATATTTTTAATCGAGTCATTCTGGAAACCGTTAAATTCCTCAGAACATCTCATCTTTCAGCTACTAATCCAACGTTATTATATTTATCCCAAGTATCCCTAACAACTTACAGTTTATTTATATTCCATAATAATCAAAGAATTATTTATAAGGTCCCCATATTATATTATCAACTGAAAAAATCACAAGATTGTTTTTTGAACCAAAAAAAAATTCAGTTTCACTGAAAATAGTCGATTTTTCCAAAATCCTTGAATAGAATATAAAACAGAAAGTTTAAAATATTTATTTATTTATTGCTGTCGAGACAACTGCGATCAATTTTCGGTTGATATCATGAAAAATGGTGAAGTTGAAAACGTCAGATTTGTTGGAAATCGGTAAAAATGGATTGAGGAGTTTCCCTTGCATTCCTGATAATATGGAGGTATCGAGTAAAGTGTGATTACACCTGGATGAGACTGTACCGAGTCTTTAAATCTCTCAACAAAATTCCTATAGCGGTACCTAGCATCTTCCACTTTTCTCATCTTCCTCACTCCTCGACTCTCTGTCCCTGTTTTTCAATTTCGTTACTCCTTTTTTCAGTGCATTCCAGAGTTTACGGATGATCGAATTGGCCTTTGTTACTTATTCTGTTCCCTGGGTAATTCCAGCGGTAGTTTTGAATCTGTATCCGCTGTGTGGGATTCTACTAGCTTCCTGGAATTGTAGGAAATTCACGGTCTGGGGTTCATTTGATTTGGCTGAAAGTTCAATGGGAATTCAGGGAAATTTGTCTGAGTTTTATGAATATAAAGTTAAAGGATCGAACGAAGAAATTTATCTGACACTTTTGAATAAAAAAT